ACTTCCATCTATATATTACGTGTAACAATGTTGCTCCTTGAATTAAGCTTTCATTCTAAGCTGCTTCTTTAATCTAACTTTTATATTTCCATTAAAAAAAAAAACGTTTAAAAAACTCGACATAGCTACCAGGCTAATTTTTTGTACGCCAGACGCGCGTTTCGTCAACATCAGACTCATTAGTGGCGCTAACTTAAAAAAGGAACACCAAATAAAATACGACAGAAAAATTCCGAAAAATTGTGCCCAAATACGGCAAAGGCAATCTATACCTGAGGGTATTTAAAAACCTAAGTGTATGAATAGTTCAGAATTTTCTAGAGAATACATTTACAGAAAATGAACTTATCAATGATCAAAGTGCTAATTACTCGGCTAGTGATACCATCGGCGACGAAACGTCCAGCAGCAGAAGCATCGACCAAGTGTTTGTAAAAAACTCACCAGAGATACCAGGCTTATAATTTTGTACGCTAGACGCTTGTTTAGTTGACATAAGACTCATCAGTTGCGGTAGAATTAAACAGTGTGAAGGACAAATTAACTACGCAGTTGTAGAGCTTTAAAAACTAAAAAATCCAAAAATATTGCCCCAATACGGCAATGCAGTCTATACCTGGAGGTTAGTCCAAAGTACGGAGTCTTAATTTTGATGTATATGTTACATGGACTATCAAAAAAGCTTGTGATAGAACATTCTAACAGCACCTGTATACGGATTAAAATCTCAGAGTTGATACGATATTCAAATATTTGCCTTTTCCGTCTTACTTTCTTTGATAGAAGGGCTTTGCTTTTAAAATGTTAAAGCTGTTTACAATAAATAGGGTTTGTAAGTCTGCAAGTTGAAGTATTCTGTTCAAAAGTTTTCCGAAAATATATGGTTGATCGTTATAAAATGTCTTTGTCACAAGTAACCACGGATATTTCCACTTGTCTTAGTCACGATATCGCCCTCTTTGTCTTAAGACGAACCACACGGCAGATGCCATCAGTCTAGCAGAAAGTGTCTACCCTTGTAAGAACCTGACGTCCACTCTATTGTTTGTTGAATAGTCCATGTTATCCTTGCTTTAATTAAACTTATTGTATTTTCTGAAAAATATATTTTCTCTTAACTTTGTGGGCTATCTTTTGTCTTGAAAAAAAGTGCAAGTGCTATTGTATATGCCTAATCAACAGATGTTAACAAGGGTACCGCGGCGGGCATCACGAGTGGTAATGGAAATATTGTTCCTTGTAGAGTGTATGAAACTGGATTGCTTTGAAGGTTTCTTGTCCTTTCAAGAACACTAGGTTGTCGATGCGTTATGCTCTCTTTACGAAAAATATGTTATTGTTCCAGTACTAGTAGACACAGCATCTTTATTAAGTTGTCATCAAAGTTCATATCTGTGATATTTTAAAATGTTCCGCCTCAAAACGGTCATGTCGATGCAATTGATTGGGTATAGGTTGCAAGTCAGTATCATATTAAATTGTTTAATTATACTACTTATCAAATGAACATGATAGCCTAGATAGATAAGCTGTGCAATCATGTAGACATTTGTTAAATGCTGATGCATGTACTTGACTTACTCTTGAGTTAAAACAATATTTTGACATTCAATATATTGGTTTTTGTGTATGAAAGCAATATTAAAACAAATAATTGTGTCCAATTCCGATAAGGACATTTTGAATGAGTATGAATTCGCATGGCGTGTGTTGCAAGTGTTACAGGAGACGCGTATCACTTACCCTGTCGACGCACCCGGTCTCGCTACTTTTGGAGTTTATGCGATTCCCTAGGTTTTTGTTTTTTACCTTGATTTGTCTCTTCCTAATCGCTTTACCGAATAATATCGTTATTGAGCTACTGTCGCCTTAAGTTATCGACCCGCATTGTCATAGATGTGAGTAGAGCTATGACGCAGAAAGTTTTAACTGTGCCTGCGGTAACCTTGATTTCAAGTTTATTAAAAGAGGGACGAAAGATACCAGAGGGACAGTCAAACTCATAGATCGAAAACAAACTGACAACGCCATGGCCAAAAATAAAAAGACAAACAGACAAATAATAGTACAGATGACACAACATAGAAAACTAAAGACTAAGCAACACGAACCCCACCAAAAACTGGGGATGATCTCAGGTGCTCCGGAAGGGTAAGCAGATCCTGCTCCACATGTGGCACCCGTCGTGTTGCTTATGTTATTACAAATCCGGTAAATAGTCTAACTCGGTAGGTCACATTCATGAGAAGGGAAGGGTTATGTAGTTACGACATAAGGAACATATCCGAAATCATCTGTGAAACGGTTATTCCATAACGGTCAACCAACTCGTGATGGCGTCCGTAAAATTTACGAAGGGATGATTTCAACTTCACCATTCGGAACTCTTGGTTTAATAGCTTCCTTGTGAGCAGTAATCCTCTATCAAGGAAATCATGATAGGAAATACAAGCCCGGGAATATCGTATCAATTGGGAGATATATACTCCGTATGCAGGCGCTGCTGGAATGTTGCTACATAGAAATGGAAAGTTCATAATTGGGAAGCTGAAATCATCTCTTTTGTCGTAAAGTTTTGTATTCCACCGACCCTCATTGTCAATTTCTAGATGTAAGTCAAGATATGAGGCAGACCTGACTGTATCTGTAGTATCCTTTATCTCTAGTTCGATGGGATAGATTCGTTCAACATAGTCACCAAATTTTGTATTATTTAGTGAGAGAACATCATCTATATAGCGGAACGTAAAGTTAAAGGATATTGCTAACTTCTTATCTTTCTTCCTAAGAAGTTCCTGTATGAAGTCAGCCTCATAATAATAAAGAAACAAGTCGGCAAGAAGAGGGGCACAATTGGTTCCCATTGGAATTCCGACAGTCTGTTGAAAAACACGTCCTCCAAACGTAACAAATATGTTGTCAATCAAGAAATCAAGCATCTTGATAATGTCAGTTTCAGAGAATTTTTTGTTTGAATCAGAGTGATTCTTTACAAAGTAGGATTTATCCCTCCCCAAGACAAGATAATAATATAGATGTAGTCAATATATCAATAAAACGATGCACCGTTCAATAAAATGACGTTTAAAAAAAACCAAATAAGTTCTGAAAAATATCTTGTCGGTAAATGTGATGAATATTTTCAACGCTGCTCCTTGACGTAGACGCAGTCATGGTCATCGCCATTATACAGTACTTTCTCTTCATGATGTCTCTATTAATAAACTTCTGCCATTTGTACAAAAACCGTTAGGTATTCATCACATTCGCTCGAAGCTTTATTCAGTATGCCATTCAAAAGGTCAAGTTCGTTGTCCCAAAACTTACGATACAGATCAAGGACGGACTTTTCTAATGACCTCAAATTGAATTGATATTCGAGGACATTTTCATAGTGTGCTCAACTGCCATTAAGTTTTCTTTTAAGTATTTTTTGAAAAAAAATATTCCAACTGGTATTTTTGTTTATTTTCCAAATAAAAGCCGACTTTTTAGGTTTGTTTTTATTATCCAATTGTTTGTGTTTATTTCGGTTCGTTTTATGTCATGAGCATAATGTTGATAAAAAAGCAATTTTCATCTATATAAAACGATTTACGTTGAGGCCAAGGCTTCAGAAAGAATAATGTAGTCGATTGCAGACCTTTGGTTATTAAGAATACGTTTATAAAGTCCTTCACAAACAGGGAGACAATTTACGGTAAGTAAGTCACCCGCATCTTTAAAATGACAAAGCTCTTTTTCATTATAGGATGCTTGATCACACATGATATTAAAGTTTGTAGCTTGACAATTGTCCATACATTATTCGTGAAAGTTACCTATTAATAAAATTTCATAACCAGAATGCACTAACTTTGAGCAGTGGGTTTCTAGTAATTCATACATGAATATATATTGGGTGTTTGCCGACCGATTCAATCATTTGGAAAATATTCAATTTCGATAGCATTTTTTAGTATTGCCTGTTCTAGATAGAATCCAGAAACGTTTATGTTTATCGTTTTTACTATTAAGAAGGTTATCGTCAAGAACAGGAAGTTCTGTTTTTAAACAAAGACCTAAATCTCCTTTACCTTTACCATATAACCTGTATTTTCCGATCTACGTATAAGCATGATCAATATTAGCGGGTCTATTATATGTTTTTAAAGAGGTTTCGACAATGTCTACGTTATAATTAGAGAGATAAGTGTTTAATTCGTGTAATTTGATAGTGGCACCGCTACTGTTTAAAAAGTCTATTTATTTAAGAAATAGATTTTGCCTTGGACTTAACATTTTTCCACGTTTATGCTACCGCTTTTTCCTTTCTTACAGTCCTTTGCTTCACAAGAACTATCGCCATTTACAGCGCTCGCTTCTTGGTCGAGAACCTAATACATAATACAAAACGTAGCCTTATGGCCTTTACCATTACACTTGTGACATACAGCGGACGTATGAATCCGCTAACCTCAATATCAACATAATGTTACGTTGCTGTACCTATTTGAATTATCTCCAAATTGATGAGACCTTAATGGTTTGAGGTCATCGAGATGGGGATGCACCCGACTAAAAATTTTGCAAGCTATCTTTTTAGAAAAGGCGGAATTGTCATATCCCGATCTAGAGTGGTATTGTGTTCGGGTTTTCTTATACACAGGGGGTCTCTCCATACCATCCTGTTTTTTGGTCTTTCCTCACTGATTATATTCAAATTCTTGGTAACATTGGCTACTTCCTTCGTGTTCAATAGAAACTTGCCTGCTTCACATAGATAAAGATGGTAACATGTACTTTAAAGGTTATGATCAAACTGTAGGAAGTTTCATTCAAACTTGTGGTCTAGTATTAAAAAATGTTTGACACGACCTTTTATATAACTGTTGTTATACTTTTCGTTTGTCTTTAGATAGACATTATCCTTTTTCAAGTTATCTGATAACAGTTTTTCTACACATTCATATTAATATAATATATGTTTTGCTCCAAATTTTGTTGCAGTTCAAACTCGGATGGATGGATTTGAATTGTATATATCCAATACTTCAACTATTCCTCCTTCTGCCTCTGACCTTTGCTACCAAGATCCTCCAGGTTATCCTTATCCAGACATCATTCAGACTATTTCATGCAATCAACTTGGACAATATGTCATTTATTATGATGATGTACTGGCACCCAGTAAACGTGGGAGTATTATTGAATTGTGTTATGTTGCCATAAATGGTACTTAAAATATTTCTATTATAAAATGACATTAACACTTACAATCTTTCTGCACCAAATACACAATTCGACAATTTTAAAATGTCTCCTCGATGATGACCGAGGCCTAATATTTGACAATCCAGTTGCAAACGTTGAAAAGCTAATAAAAATAAAAAAATAAAAAAAAACAAAGGTAAGGCAAACAGGAGATGATTTCACTTAAAAAATGATATAATAGAAATTATTTCTCTGCCAAACAAAAGTTCAACACAAAATGATAAACACAAATCTTTTGATAAAGTAAAGTCGATCGATTAACTTTTTACCTAATGTTAAATTACAATATAGCAATTATTTTAGAAGTTATACGCTTACTGGTATGCCTTTTGGCAAGCAAGATGACAAAATACGAAATTGTTGCCCACATTTGCATTTTAAACTATTTACTAGTATAAAGCATGTATAGCTAATGATAAAATGTTTTATATTTAATTATGGTATCGGTAGACAATCACAACATTCTCATAGGTACTTCCATCAGGTACGTGAATTTCTATTTTTCCAGCATCTTTTCAAATATTTTAGGTTGTAAAAAACATTTTTGGGGAAGTAGCTGCACTAAGTCCTGTACAGAACGATGTATAGACCAAAATTGCTATCCTGGAAATGGTTCGTGTGTTTTGGGGTGCAACACTAAAAACTGTTTGAATGATACTTGCGATAAAAGAACTGCAGTGTGTACCAACGGTTGTAGGGAAAGACGAACTGGAACGTATTGCAACAAATGTAAGTTACTTTACCAAGACCACTTAGACCAAGATTTCGACATAACATGACAACTTACACTGCAGTCAACGTATTAATTGAATGTAAGTTTCAAAGATACATTTAAATGAACTGTATCAGAGAACAGACGAGCTAGTGCAAATTGCTACTCCCGATCAGTCATCATATCCTTTATGTACAGTAGGTATAGTGTACGTTTGGGATTGTGTTTTTTCTCGAGTGAATTGATCTGGTTTTTTCGAGTGTGATCATGTTTTTTGTCGTCTGAATATGAAGTTCAATGTAAAAAACATACTTCCTTTCAAGTAAAACATGAAACCGAAGCTTTAAATAGAAATATAGTATTAATTTCGTATTAAAAAGTTATCATTAACCATACATTGTTTTTATTATAAAAGTTGAATTAATCATAAGATGCTTTCATTCTTAAATATAGAATTAAGACCCTTTTATACACATACGAATGCAAAATTCAATGGAAATGCATTCATAGAATATTTAATAGCTTTCGTTTGTAGAAACTTCACGAAAATATTTGTAATAGGAAGACTTTGAGTAGAAATTTATTTTTGTGTGTCCAGTTTAGATAGATAGATAGAATTTACAGGTCTTTTAATATATAAATTATACTGAAATTTCCTTCAGTGTTGCAATTGACAATAGGTATGTACTATTTCAAAATAGCAAATGAAATAACTGTACAAAATGATATCTTTTAGCATATCCATGTGCATCTCGCAAATTGGAAATACATTTGAACCAAGGGGGTATTTCCCGACAATTTGCTAATCGAGTCTAAAACTGTCATATGTTTTTTTGTATATAGAAATGAATGATGATCAATAGAAATAGAAAAAAAAACATGGAAGTGTGTGGCTGAAAAACATAGAAAAAGACCAAAAGCATTTCATATCATGAAAAGGTTTTATTCAAGTCAAAAAATTGAAAAGGTAGCCATGCAAACGGACGATACTGACTTCAGAGCGCACTATACTTGTGTCTGGTATCACTCTCATTATCTAGTCTCTAGACAAAATGTTTGGGAAGCAAAACACATGAACAGTTTTTCACAAAACCAACTGTGTTTTCACAATGAAATAACAACGGATTCATTTATTTTCGTGTGAACCAATTTTCATGGAATGAAAAAAAACTTTTTTTCGTAGATAGTTTATTTCGTAGTATTGACTACGATTGTATACAATGCTTCAGGTAGAATAACTGTATACCGCCATCTTGGATCGTAAAATAGCAGTTTACAATCGGTATAGTTCTTTTTTTAAATCTGCAAATTTTGAGACAGATTGGCATTAATGTGTAAGAGTGTTCATTTGAATCAAGAAAAAATAATGCTTTATTACATTATTTAGACTGTTTTATCAAATACCAAATATTTGTGTTTGTTCGAATCAAATTTTTATTTTGCCTTTTAAGGGGAGACAACTCAAATAGTAAAATATTCATAAAGGAATGATAAAGAAATTTTCATTTTTTACTTATAGCAAGAAAACAAGTTCGATGACACCATTTTTTCTTTTTATTTTCTAAAAGAGGGACAAAAGATACCAGAGGAACAGTCAAACTCGTAGATCGAAAACAAACTGACAACGCCATGACCAAAAATAAAAAGACAAATAGACAAATAATAGTACAGATGACACAACATAGAAAACTAAAGACTAAGCAACACGAACCCCACCAAAAAATGGGGGTGATCTCAGGTGCTCCGGAAGGGTAAGCAGATCATGCTCCACATGTGGCACCCGTTATATATATAAAGTATATTTCAAAACCTATCTTTTAATATTTTATTTCAAAATTTTATCTCATAGATTTCTTTTTATTCACAAAAAAGTGTTTTTTTTCATTAATAATGTATGCAAATTTGGTTAATTTTACACGACTAATAGCTTGAAAAAAAACATGGTGACCCCTACTTTTTATTATATTTTTGAAAAAATCATGGAAAAATCTACATTTTGGCAGAGTATAAGAAAATTCTATCTGAGGAAATATATACCGATGATCCACCTTAAGGAACATTGCATTTAAAATAAGATTAGTAACCCACGCATAATAAACACACAGTACTTCAGCTCTAATTCGGTCTAAGGGCACTAATGGACCTAGAGAGTTCAACATCAGTTTTAGTATGATTTCATTGTTTATCAACTGAAATTATGTGTATATGTTTCATTTAATCATTCCAATACAGATTTATATGTATTAGCGTCAGGGCGTATCGAAAAGTTGGGGATTGCCAGCGGTACAAACAAAGTGGTAATAACAAAAGCGTTTGATACTGACATTTCTTCGTTTTTTTTCATGTATACTAGCGAAAAAAGTCTTGTGCATCAGTACCATCTAAGATCAACTTTGTCTTTGGAGTTGCCTTCCTAACTTTAGATATGATGAAATTAATTAGTAAACTGAAAAAAAAACCCAAAAAACTAATTAATCGAGGTTTAAACAGCAAACATTAAAATAAACGGTTTGCTACACATATCGTTTGGTAATTCCTTCAAGCCCACATAATATAATTAATCAGAATTTCTCTATGACAGATAACATTGCAACTGACGCTTCAGTATCACAGATTCAATTTGGTACCAAACCGACTTATCTTGCAAATGACGGAGATAAAACATCGTGTTTCAAGAGACAAGGAACTAACGTACGGATTCAGGTTGACATGACGGAAATAAGAATCGTGACAGAAATGTATCTCACAGGCAAAGGTATGTCAGTTTACAGGTTTTTACATTTGAATTACAAATCAATAAGCAATCAACCCTCACTTCAAAATTATTAATTAAGTTGCCTTTATATATTTTTACAAAAAAATAAAAAAAAAATAAAAGAACTTAATATATATCCATATATATCAGTGCTTTTGAATAACTTGGGTTTGAGGCTGGACTGGTGTTAATGAGCAAAAGTATACACTTTTGATCTAACTATAGCACTTACCATACGTGGAACAATGAGTATAAGATTATCAATAAAAAAGCAAGTGAAATGTGTCCATTAACTTAGTTCGATGTAGTCCTTGCTTGGGCATCTCAAACCGGAAAAGGAAAACCAAAGCAAACACTCTGATAAAAGTCCAAGGTACGTTCAAAATTCGTATGCAGAAGAATGAAAAATCCGTATGGCGAAATAAAATGAACGAAATGAAAATAACAGCCCATAAAACATCAAACACAAAACTACAGATTTTGACACGAAAATCGCGAAAACCAGGAAATCAGGTGGACAGGGCTAACGATATGTAAGGTATGTAAGATTAGCTTTTTTAGATTTATTTATATGTTTGTTTGATTGTTCTAGTCAGATGTGTTGTATGTCTGTGATTGACGTTTACACAGTTTTGGCTGCTGGATCCAAATTATTGTCACATTAACATATGTCTTTTTGGGTTACTTACCAAAATTTGCCAATATAACAAAACTTAAAGCAACTGTCATACAAGTGGGATGTTGAGCTAGCTATAAAACCAGGTTTTGTTTAAACAGTATTTATTAATGAAAAAATTTACAAGAATAAAATATTACAATACAATGTTAGATAAAGTTCAAATATGGGATTCGGAAACAAGTTTATGAACTATTTTACCAATTTTGATAATAATTGTACTCCCAAAGAAAGGTTTTGTAGTTAACTCATTAATTAATGTTTTTCGTATTTTAATCATTCTGTCATGTTTTCAGTGAATGCTACAATAAAGGGCAGTGTACATACAATTTACGCTTCAAATTCAAGTGGTGACCCGGAAAAGGGAATTGTTTTACACCGTGGGGAATCTTTACCAAAAAATATCAGCACAAATGCCGTTTTCAGATACTTGACATTTGTACCAGATAATAAGAGTGCAGTAATAGAACTTGAAATTTGTGAAATTGGGATCGTTGGTGAGTATTTGAATCGAAACGAGGTACACAAATCTGAAATGATAATGGATAAGGTTGAAGTTGTTATTACGTTACCAAAACGTTAAACTAAGGCAAATCCTTTGAAAACAAATAACATATTCTATTTTGTTTAAACCATCATTTGAGTTTCAAAGTTATTCTGATGCCTGGAATACATAAAATTTTAATTTTATTGTTATTATTATTGAAATTTATAATTTGTTTTCTCTTATCAGACTGTGTAGATGTGTTATTTCTGGGTATTCCGTTCAGACGAAGACTGACGTATTATTTGGTAATAAAGTCCGTCAGTGAGCAATTCAAGCTATTCTTACTTTAGGTCAAGTATGCTTTAGCAATTTCGAATCCGAATTTTAACATGCAGTAGTTTACAGGACTTTAATAAAACTTCTAATCTTTTATTTGTTTTTCTACATCTGAAGTATGCTTTAACGGTTTCATCTGAAATCTTTACATCATGTTGTGTTTTATCCAGTCTAAAGATGTTTCGTTCAGATAAGTACATGTCAAATGGTTTTGGACTGTTATCTTCCTTAACTTTTGCATCGTTATATTACAATTTCTCTTAAAACATTTTCTTTCTATGGTTTTTAAAATTATTTAGTTGTGAAATGAATCTTCGGCATAAAAATTGCAAAACTATTCAAAATACTACTACTTTTTGGTTCACACGTGCAGAGTAGCTACATGTATATGTATAAAACGCTTTATATTTGTCCAAAAAGATTGCCACATAAACAGTTACTATCTTCTGGCAGAGAAAAAAGAAAACCAGACTACTAAAATTGAAATTCCAATATCTACCAGATTTATACGTCTAGTAGAAACAGGAATTCTTATTTATACGAATGAATATCCAGTATCAATAGGAACTCGAATATCTGTTGGTAGAAATGGGGATATCCAGATTTAAGCAAGGAGGATCCTTGATTGAAGTTACTATAGATGATTACTTCAAAACTATTTTGATGTATTTCATAATGAAATAAACTTAATATCAAGCTTTTTTGAATCAAAAATAAAAGAGGTGGTGCCAATTTTCTATCAATTTAATTCACAACAGGACTTTTGTTTTCTAAAAATCCTTCAATCTTTTACTAAAATTTTACAGTACCATATAAGCTATTTTAAAGTTTTAGTGTGCATGTATTATCGAAATTTGTTCAAATTAATGATGGTTAAATTACTTGAAATTTGACAGATTTTAGCAAAGATTTAGTAATCATAAGGATATTCTTCACCAAAACCAAACTTCTATTAGAAGTGTACTAGTCTTGTATTTTTATAGTTTGTCAAATAGAAAATAATTCGCTTACCTAAATGCTGTCTTTCCATACAACATTTGAGAACAAATTGGGCCCATAACACCTTCTTTGTACTACCTCTTTCATTTTACAATTTATCTCTTAGTCTGTCTAATGCACAAATCGTAAAAGTCATGATAATTTTCAATTTGTTCTGAACATTTTGTAATTAGGAATTGTCGTAAAAATGGACAAGCGCAAAGATGTTTTATACGAAATTTTTGATTAACGAATAAGTAACCAAAACACTATGATAGAAAAAATGAATATCATCATCTTTTCCTCAAAATTGACAAAAATGGATGACTTCAAAAAGAATCTATGACAACATGATGATTTCAACTTTCCAATTGTCAACTTCATATTTCTCAGCAGTAACACACTCTCTGCTCCTTCGTATGACGTTTACATATCTCAGTTTAGGCGTTACTCTCGTTCATATTCACACTACACGGACTTTATTAACATTGGTGTCCTCCTTATACATAAACTGATCCAACAGAGTTATAAGGAAGAACGACTTAAATCGACACTACATAAGTTTACGTTCACTACCACCAATTGGTTGACCGATAAGATGTGTCGGTGTCTCAACTCACTAGCGACAGGTGGTCTTAGATCTTTATACATTAATAAAGTCATCTGATCTGTATCCGATTGGATCCTATTCCCGATTGTAACATTTTGACTGAATTAGTATGGTGATGAATGCATAGCAGGAGATATACCCTGTCGATGCACCTGGTCTCACTCATTTTGGAATTCATGCTAGTCCCATGTTTTGTTTGTTACCATAATGTGTCTCTTCCTATTCGTTTACGAGATATGATCATCGGTAAAAGTGAAATCAAAGTTGGTTGATATAGTTTAACGATTGATTTTTTCATTTTATATGGAATTCTACTTTTTTTTAATTTACCTTTGAGTTCGGTGTTTTTGTTTATACTTTTTTTGGATATGGACTGAAATTTAGCCTTGCAACAGGCCACTTACGGACCCCTCTAAAGAGGTTTTTTAAGGGTTTTGTAATTTCCCATTCTGACCGGACGTGGCTGCGAATGTATACAACCCGCAAAAATCAAACGGATGCCCCACTTCGGCAAGAATTTTACTGCCGGGTGGAGCAGACCAAGTGACCATATCCCTATTCCCCAGCCACCTAAGGAGTTGTTTAGAAGCTATATGTCAATTTCACTATAGAACGTTCATAAAACAAAAGTAGAAAGTGAAATACGGCACTGAGTTTTTCTAAAACAGGTGTTTTTCTTAGAATGTAAGGATTTGTTAGATTTTGATTTGTCATATTTTCTTCGTTTATACTGACGTGCAAACTTATTTTATCATTTCTATCGTGATTACATTGCTGATCGTCCTGCGGTATGGGATAATGTAAGGGACACAGTTTGTCAACAGTATATTCTAGCTCTAGGAACATTTAGGAATATTTTTTTTTTCATTATATTTTTACCCAATGTTCCTAAGAAATTTTCTATACACTTTATCGTTTTGAATTGTGTATATTTCTGTTGGTACAGCTAGCTCTAGATTGTTACTAAAATTTGTCGTACTTTAATATTGCACGAGCTTCCGAGGGAGGATATTCACCAATATCTATGCAATAACCCTTTTATTGCATATCAAAGCATGGAAAAACTGTTTAAAACATCTTTTTGTCATTCAATGACGTCATTAATTTGATGCACTAGTGATATATTAATGTAATGTTACATTCTGTATGAATTATGTTGTTGCTTACAATGATAATTATTAATGGAATTTTTTAGCTGTGTGCTTTTTTAACTCACCCAATTCATTTACATTTCAAAGTGATTGATTGTTCTTTTCTTGCATTTGTCATTATTAAAAAAACCAAGCCGTGTCCTATCGGGCAAAATTAATTAAAAAGCTATTAATATGGAACAAGCTTCGACAACTTCTTGTCAAAATTATCAATGAAATTATGTCATATGAAACCATGTTATATCTAAGTGTTTTTGTTTTAAGGATGTCCTTCTTCACAGTATGGTCCAATTTGTAACAGAACATGTCCATCAAATTGTCATGGACCATGTGATCTTGAAACAGGACACTGCATATTAGGCTGTTTAAATGGGTGGATTGGTGAAATATGTGACCAGGGTAAAGAAATTAAACATATTTCTGTCTATTTTTTATACTAATTTTGCGGTAAATTTACATACTGAGATTAAATCGAAGAGATAACATAGGTACCTAAATTTATTCCAACGAATGTAACAGGAAGGAAAACAGCCTTTCGCATTTCAGTTTCATTTATTTGTTAAACACAATTATAGTTCGAAGAACAACGATATATATATCAGTTCCTTAACCTTCGTTTCATTGATATGACAAAAGTATGTAACAACTTCATATCATGTCTTTTTTTACCAGTACCTTACACTTCAATGATGTGACAATATACCATTAATAATTATAACCAACTGCAAATGTTCCCCTTAAATCACTTAATGAAAGATTGCAGAAGTGGGTTCCATTAGTATTTACATACATCAGAAAAAGTTAAAATAATATTTTTAAATTATTTTGACTGAGAAACGCAAATTTTCATGACAATGGGTCAAATAAATTATACATTGATTTTACAGCGTGTAGTTCTGGTTTTTATGGAATGGAGTGTCTTCTTAATTGTTCTTTAAACTGTTTAACGCCACAATGTGATCATACAACTGGAGGCTGCACTGGTGGATGTACTAGAGGGTGGAAGGGATTCAATTGTACACAAGGTTGATAGATTTATTTATATATGTTTGTATAAAGAATAGAAATAGAACGATAAATACAGACATGCTGACTAAGTGTATCACCAAATTAAACACATAATTTTTAATGCCGTTATGTTTACAAATCTCGTAATTACTTGGCTTTACATCTGTAGTAGCCACAGTCCTCATGAAAATAAGATGATGTAGTATGATTGCAAATGAGACAACTCTTCACCAGAGAACAAATTACATAGACTTAAGAAAATAAAGGTCACCGTACGGCCTTCAAAATGAGCAAAACCCATACCACATAGCAAGCTATAAAAGGCCCCGAAATGACATGTGTAAAACAATCAAAACGAGAAAACTAACGGCCGAATTTATGTACAAAAGAAAAGACAAACACAAATATGATATACAGTAAGAACCACTGTTCTCTTTTCCTCGACTGTAATATCACTTGATGCAACTTTTCATTAAATCTGTACTAGTCATTAGCAACATGAAAGGTAACACTAGTGGAGCAGAAACTGGTTTTCTTTCTTAAACATGGTTTAAACTTCGTTTTGTTTGGGTTTGTGTCTTTATCTCAGTATATAGATTTCTGAGTAAATTGGTTGCTTTGTTTCTTCGTCTTATTCTTTATTTTGAACATTGTGTCCTTCTTTTTATTTTTTTTATTTTTGTAGTATTTTATCTTTCAATGTCTATAAAGTTTAATAAACTTTCTCTAGATACACTGGGTTTTATTTCAAGCGTTTATTTTCAGTAATAAATATGTGTACTATGGTAAGAGAATCAACATCATTTGATATTTTGTAAAATTACGTATTACCATGATTAGAACATGCACATTTACCTTTTTGGTTTTTTTTGCAATACCTTATTGGCAGATATGTGTAATCACCCCGAGTTATGCTGTGCGTGTCACTAGTGCAGCAATATATGCTGATCATATGATAAATGTTATTTGCTTGTCCAGTCGTATTTCTCTTTTAGTCATGGTGTGTTCCGCTTTTCTTCCACTAATGATGTATAATTACCAAGTTGGTATCCTTACTCTTTTTATGCTTATTCTCCATAATCTTATTTTCCCTTCTTTCTTACGGTATATTTTAACTGTTGCAAATGTTTTATCTTCTATTGGAATTAAAGATACAAGACATGCTGATAGATTGAGTTTATATGAATTATAGGACATTTCGTGTATTCACTACAACCATATGATTAGTAGACTACCCTTTTTGTGTCATTGATACATGCATAGAAATCATAATGTAGAACAAAAACTCTTTTGAATTTTAACAATTGCGTGGCTATTAAATATTTTTATTATATCATATATTACTTATCGCAACACTTCGTGTATGACAAGAATGGAACATGGTAAGCAATGAAATAAACAGGTATCTAAGTTACTTCAAGTAAAAATATAAACATACAAACAAATCCCGTCAATTAAACTTGAGAGCCAATTTTCAGAATTTATCTTCATCTATAAAAACATCTCGCTATAAATGTTAAAGTTCATGATCGTGTTTATTTCCGATTTCCAACAACATATTTAAGCAAATAAATGATTCGTAATGCTAGCGGATTGCTCAAAGCGGAATGTTGGTATGTTTTAGCAATTTTCTTTTATTATAAAAATATTCAAGAAGGATATAATAAACGATAATGAAAGGATACCAGTATTACCCTATTTTTTAAGTCCGTGTGACTTCGACCGTTAGTATTACAAAAAGATATAACATTTGCAAGATTCAGTATATTGTCATCAAGAGCTGTGCATCTGCCTACCCTTCCGGAGCACCTGAGATCATCTTCAGTTTTGTTTAGAGTCCTGTTGTTTGTCTTTTGGTCGTATATCGTTTATTGTCATGGCGTTTTCAGTTTTTTTTCGACTTATGAGTTTGAATATCCCTTTGCTATCTTCCAGCTCTTCTTAAGGACGAAGACAAAAAATGACAATGATATTTCTAACATGTCATTTAAACATGTATAAATAAAATGAAAAACTGTTTTAACCGTTGATTTGAGACAGAACCTATTTCGATTAAACGGACTATACTTTTAGTATCAGGTAAATAATGATAAGGATAAGAATAACCATATGATGATCATCGCTAGTTATATTTGTTAAATGTGAGATTTTGTTTCAGTGAGATCAGAATTTCAGGAAGAACTTAACGGGGCAGTTTTAGGTGGAAGCATTGGTGCCGTCATTGCCGTAATTTTGATTATGGTAGCAGGATGTTTTATTTACAAGTAAGTTCGTTAATCACGGAAAGTATTTTTTTGAAAAATATTGTGGCTTTGTATCCTTATTTTATTTTCAGATCAAAGACACCTGACCATTTGTAAAATATAGATCACAATAGTTGTAAAATTGCGTTTTGGATATTGCATCCTTTAGGATATCTATGTCTTATTATATACACAAAAGTCTAAATTGAAAACAACGTTCATACCTATTATTGCGTTGGATAAAAACTGCAATTTTTATACGTGTGCATGTAAAACAAATTTCTTGGTAGAGGGGTCTAAATACAGCACAAACAACAATTTCAAAAAGACCAAAAAAAGTGAAAAAGTCTATTTTAACAAAACGCATTTGACTAACAGGTCGAACAACTGATGTTCTTAAACCCTGCTAACTGCCATTGGCGATTGAAAAAAAAATTGATCACCAGATCTAAGAAATTGGATCTTAATATTAATTTAATGCCAAACAGAAAACAATAAACTTGTGGAAAAGATGGTATGCCACAAACATGAGGTGCAAACATTTGTACACCAAATATATCCGGATTTCGACAATTAATGTCTCTTCAGTGATGTTAGGGATCCAAACGGTATTTGGAAGGCCATATAATTTACCTCAATTTAGGATAGACTCTGTAATTTTATAGAGTCGAAATAGGATGAACGGATCATATAAACCCGAAGAAAAATATAATACAAGCCCAAACGAAAAAATATACAAAAGTCTAAATTGAAAACAACGTTCAAACATATGATTGCGTTGGATAAAAACCGCAATTTTTATACGTGTGCACGTAAAGCAAATTACTTGGTAGAGGGGTCTAAATACAGCACAAACAACAATTTCCAAAAGACCAAAAAAAGTGAAAAAAATCTATTTTAACAAAACGCATTTGACTAACAGGTCGAACAACTGATGTTCTTAAACCCTGCTGACTGCCATTGGTGATTGCCAAATAAATTGATCACCAGATCTAACAAAATGGATCTTAATATTAATTTAATGCCAAACAGAAAACAATAAACTTGTGGAAAAGATGGTATGCCACAAACATGAGGTGCAAAAATTTGTACACCATATCCGGATTTCGACAATTAATGTCTCTTCAGTGATGTTAGGGATCGAAACGGTATTTGGAAGGCCATATAATTTACCTCAATTTAGGATAGACTCTTTAATTTTAAAGAGTCGAAATAGGATGAACGGATCATATAAACCCGAAGGAAAATATAATACAAGCCCAAATGAAAAAATATACAAAAGTCTAAATTGAAAACAACGTTCAAACCTATGATTGCGTTGGATAAAAACCGCAATTTTTATACGTGTGCATGTAAAACAAATTTCTTGGTAGAGGGGTCTAAATACAGCACAAACAACAATTCCAAAAAAAGAAAAAAAAGTGAAAAAGTCTATTTTAACAAAACGCATTTGACTAACAGGTCGAACAACTGATGTTCTTAAACACTGCTGACTGCCATTGGCGATTGCCAAATAAATTGATCACCAGATCCAACAAAATGGATCTTAATATTAATTTAATGCCAAACAGAAAACAATAAACTTGTAGAAAAGATGGTATGCCACAAACATGAGGTGCAAACATTTGTACACCATATCGGGATTTCGACAATTAATGTCTCTTCAGTGATGTTAGTTATTATATATAAACAAGTCTAAATTGAGAACAACGTTCAAACCTATGATGCGTTGGATAAAAACCGCAATTTTTATACGTGTGCATGCAAAACAAATTTCTTGGTAGAGGGGTCTAAATACAGTACAAACAACATTTTCAAAAAGACCAAAAGAGTGAAAAAGTATATTTTAACAAAACGCATTTGACTTGCAGGTCGAACAACCAATGTTCTTAAACCCTGCTGATTGCCATTGGCGATTGCCAAATAAACGGATCACCAGATGTAACAAAATGGATCTTAACTATTAATTTAATACCAAACAGAAAACAATAAACTTGCAGAAAAGATGGTATACCGCAAACAAAAGGTGCAAAAATTAGTACACCATATCCGGATTTCGACAATTAATGTCTCTTCAGTGATGTTAGGAATCGAAACGGTATTTGGAAGGCCATATAATTTACCTCAATCTAGGATAGACTCTTGAATTTTGAAGAGTCGAAATATGATGAACGGATCATATAAACCAGAAGGCAAATATAATACAAGCCCAAACGAAAAAATATAAACAAGTCTAAATTGAAAACAACGTTCAAACTATGATTGCGTTGGATAAAAACCGCAATTTTTATACGTGTGCATGCAAAACAAATTTCTTGTTAGAGGGATCTAAATACAGCACAAACAACATTTTTAAAAGACCAAAAGAGTGAAAAAGTATATTTTAACAAAACGCATTTGACTAGCAGGTCGAACAACTGATGTTCTTAAACCCTGCTGATTGCCATTGGCGATTGCCATATAAACGGATCACCAGATGTAACAAAATTGATCTTAACTATTAATTTAATTCCAAACAGAAAACAATAAATTAAACTTGCGGAAAAGATGGTATACCGCAAACAAAAGGTGCAAAAATTTGTACACCATATCCAGATTTCGACAATTTATGTCTCTTCAGTGATGTTAGGAATCGAAACGGTATTTGGAAGGCCATATAATTTACCTCAATTTAGGATAGACTCTTGAATTTTGAAGAGTCGAAAAAGGATGAACGGATCATATAAACCAGAAGGCAAATATAATACAAGCCCAAACGAAAAAACATAAACAAGTCTAAATTGAAAACAACGTTCAAACTATGATTGCGTTGGATAAAAACCGCAATTTTTATACGTGTGCATGCAAAACAAATTTCTTGGTAGAGGGGTCTAAATACAGTACAAACAACATTTTTAAAAAGACCAAAAAAGTGAAAAAGTATATTTTAACAAAACGCATTTGACTAGCAGGTCGAACAACTGATGTTCTTAAACCCTGCTGACTGCCATTGGTGATTGCCAAATAAATTGATCACCAGATCTAACAAAATGGATCTTAATATTAATTTAATGCCAAACAGAAAACAATAAACTTGTGGAAAAGATGGTATGCCACAAACATGAGGTGCAAAAATTTGTACACCATATCCGGATTTCGACAATTAATGTCTCTTCAGTGATGTTAGGGATCGAAACGGTATTTGGAAGGCCATATAATTTACCTCAATTTAGGATAGACTCTTTAATTTTAAAGAGTCGAAATAGGATGAACGGATCATATAAACCCGAAGGAAAATATAATACAAGCCCAAATGAAAAAATATACAAAAGTCTAAATTGAAAACAACGTTCAAACCTATGATTGCGTTGGATAAAAACCGCAATTTTTATACGTGTGCATGTAAAACAAATTTCTTGGTAGAGGGGTCTAAATACAGCACAAACAACAATTCCAAAAAAAGAAAAAAAAGTGAAAAAGTCTATTTTAACAAAACGCATTTGACTAACAGGTCGAACAACTGATGTTCTTAAACACTGCTGACTGCCATTGGCGATTGCCAAATAAATTGATCACCAGATCCAACAAAATGGATCTTAATATTAATTTAATGCCAAACAGAAAACAATAAACTTGTAGAAAAGATGGTATGCCACAAACATGAGGTGCAAACATTTGTACACCATATCGGGATTTCGACAATTAATGTCTCTTCAGTGATGTTAGTTATTATATATAAACAAGTCTAAATTGAGAACAACGTTCAAACCTATGATGCGTTGGATAAAAACCGCAATTTTTATACGTGTGCATGCAAAACAAATTTCTTGGTAGAGGGGTCTAAATACAGTACAAACAACATTTTCAAAAAGACCAAAAGAGTGAAAAAGTATATTTTAACAAAACGCATTTGACTTGCAGGTCGAACAACCAATGTTCTTAAACCCTGCTGATTGCCATTGGCGATTGCCAAATAAACGGATCACCAGATGTAACAAAATGGATCTTAACTATTAATTTAATACCAAACAGAAAACAATAAACTTGCAGAAAAGATGGTATACCGCAAACAAAAGGTGCAAAAATTAGTACACCATATCCGGATTTCGACAATTAATGTCTCTTCAGTGATGTTAGGAATCGAAACGGTATTTGGAAGGCCATATAATTT